TCGTACCGAACAAAACAATATTTAAACCCAATACAGTACCGAAAAGGTCATTATCAAATATTCCAATTAAAGCGCTTTGATAAGCAGTTTAAATCCAAGTCTATAACCAGAATCTATCAAACAATCTAAACGGCACCAATACCTTACCAAAATATTACCTAATGGTAATATCAAATTTAATAATAATAATAGCAATAATAATAATAATAATATTAACAATAAACCTTACCCAAATGATACCAATATTATAATAGTAATATAATTGATAGAAACTTTAGCCTGAGTACAAATGCAAAGAGTTCAAATAAATAAATACCTTAATACCGAGATGATACACTGAGTTTCATAAACAATAAAATACATTTCAGTTAAAATAAAAGTTATACAAAGTTATAAAAAAGGAAACAACCAAATAAAGACAATATAAAATATTAAAATTTAAGTTAAATGTAATTCAGTGGATATGGTGAATGCGGCAACATAAAGATTGAAACTCAGTGTATGCGCGATCCCAAGATATTAAACCAAAATAATGAAATAGTGATAAAATAAAAATTATTACCAAAAATCACTCGTTATTTACACATATTAAAATGATTAATTAGGACCCAATAAACTAGCAATGATAAACGTCATAGACCAAAATGCGAATTAAATAATATTTTTCAAAATTATAAGCAAAAATGTATTAAGAAAACCCAAAACGAGGAGTTGTTTATCATTACTAGCAAATATTACAATTTATAAAAGTGTACATACCTAATTATAGCAGAAAATCGGTAACAATCACAAAAACTATAGCTATATTATAATATATTTCACAGTGTTCAACAGGAGTATCTCGAAGGGCGAGCAAAAACCCTCTGTGTGTATGATATTTCCTAATCTAGCTTTTAAACTCTATGCCACTTAAGCAAGAATGTGTAATATAAACAGGTCTCCCTAATATTTCTTCGTTCAGATACAAAGAAGTGAAATTTTAAAACTTAATATGATTTTAAAACATAAAATAACTTAAAACTATAATATTATTTTTAGTGGAATATTTAAATTTTCCTTGGTTAAGATAGCGCCAAATTTGAATTTAAAAGTTTATGTACTACAGGACCCTTACAGTATCAATTTTTATAATTTTCATGATTAATTTTTTTGACGTTGCATCATTGTGAAAAAAGGACCCAACCTCTTTAATAACATCAACCCAAAGACGCTCGATTCGTTGATTATGAACGCTGCGTCCCGTTATATGACTGCTTCTGTTAATACCACGAACCACGTTCATCAACATTGCTACAAAAATATTTTGGTAACCAAAATATAATACATTCTAATACAGACCTGGTTTTATTTAAATAAAGGTGGTCAGTTTGTTGTATTGATGAAAGTAGCAGGCCATATTGCTCCGTCATATGTTTAGTATGTGTGAGAACCCAGACAGTTAAGGTTTGAACCTATTCATTTTTGTGAACTGGAAAACAAAAATATTATGTCAAAAACAAATTTTAAAAAGAATTTTCCCCCAAAGTTTTAGCAGCATTATCTAATACAGAGTTACCACTGCGTTCCTCATGCATTTATGCATTTATTAAGTGCACTTGTTTACACAAGGTATTTTTTACTGTATTCAGGACAATCTTCAGGATAGCATATCATACATACTTATATAATATAATGTCCTACATTTATTCTCACAAACTTGGCTTATACTTGTTGTAAACATGTTCATATCTTGAATATTTTACCTAAAAGATTAAGTTGTAAAAAAATTGGATAAAATTTTTACCTAAAAACTTCCAAATATTTCTGCATTTGGCGACTTTTACTTTATTTTGGCGACTTTCGCCGCCTCTGGTGGCGACATGAAATTTTTTTATCTGGCAACACTGACGAGGATATCAGAACGAGAATAGCAGTGGTGCCAGCAAGAGGTAGTAAGATCGGGCTAATAACCTCAATGATTTAGGAATCCGCAACTAATTTGTTGGAGGATATTAGTCCAGAAGTCCTAGCTAATGTGCGTGGGAATTTTTATAATAGGTTAGGCTATTGTTTGGCTGCCTATGGGGGCTTGTTCGAACATTTAATTTAATTTTTGAGTTTATTTATTTTTAGAGTTTTATTTTTATTTATAGTTATTTTTATTCAGAATTATTTTTTATTTGAGAAATCTTTTTTATTAAGAATACTATTTTTGTTGTTCTCAAGGAAAAAAATCAAAACATTTTATTTTTAGGATTCGGGTATAAAATATTTAAAAAGAAAATTAAAATGTGCATCTACACTCTAACGCAGTTTGCTTAACACTAAATGCAGCCAGACTGGCTGCCAGAGTTGACCTCGCTTACAATTCGCACGCATCCGGCTCTGGCCAATCAAATTCTATTTGGCGTTCTATCCTTGTTCTTTTCACGCGGGTATTGAACAGTCGTCCTTTTCAGCCCGGTCGGACTTGGACGTTTAATGTAATGTTTATTTCCTAATAAATGTATCTATCTATCAATCTATCTATCTATCTACAAACATATAACAAATACAATTGACAATTAAAATAACAGACAACCCTTGTTTATGAGAATAATGTATTAAAAACGGGGTTTAATTACAATTACAGTTTCTTACCTTGCAGTGATAAGTTTTTTGTCAGTTTTCGAAATTAAATCAAAAACATTGTTAATATTTTGAATATTCATTTTTCAAACATATAACAAATACAATTGACAATTAAAATAACAGACAACCCTTGTTTGTAAGAATAATGGGTGGTATAATTAAAAAGAGTATTTGCTTTTACTTCAAGTAAATGCTCCATTTTGTAGTTTTCACTTCACAAATTATAGCATTAACTCCACATAATTCTTAGAGTAATACTAAAGTAAGTACTTGGAGCAATTGCTTTGCTTTATTTACATCGATATATAGAAGTTTATACTGCAGAATTTACTTATATTGTCTAGTATTTTTTCCATTTGGGAGTGTTTGGTGTAGTTTATAAGAAGTTACTGATAGGGTAACTTCACATCAGGTAATTCCATTAAAAAAGTGTTGAAAATGGCTTTTTTATGAATTATGATAGGAAAATGAGGGAAATATGTGAACGTAGAACGTATGGGGAGGTACAATATAGAAAATTATTTCGGTAAGTCAATTATATTTTAGTTATATTTAGTTGCTACGTTTAGCTTCAATGCAAACAATGTTGAATGGATAGCCAATGAGTTCTTAGGAAATCATGTTAAGATGAGGGGAGCAGCTTTATCAAATATAACGAAAATGGAGGTATTTTTAAGAGCTCTAAGTGATCCTGGGTTTCAACAAGGTGGTGTAGATATTCGGTTACATCAAACAACAGTGTCAAAAGTTATTAAAGAAGTTGCACAAAAAAATGTTTGGATTTCTTTTCCCCAAAACGCCCGTGAAATTGAATATGCCAAAGATGGATGGACGATGCCTGGTACAATAGGAGCGATAGATTGTACTCACATTAGAATATTAAAGCCAAAAAGTCATGGGGAAGAATATTTCAACCGTAAAGGATTTTGTAGTATGTAACGATACACATTACGACATCTATGAGACGATTTTCCTAACTACCCGACGTCAAGGAAAGAGTTGGACTACCAGAAACCTGCAGTTAGACGGAACAGATGGCGCTTGGACAGCTGTCAACCGCATATATGTTGTCAACACTTGTTGCACACGGCCCGTGTGAAGGATTTATTTCACACGGCCCCAATTGTTTTTCATCAAGTCTGTCATCAGAATTTCGTCTATAAAACCGCTGCATTTTTCAATGGACAGTCAGTCGTCTGGTGGCTCAATTCCAAATGGTGTTACCAATTGTGAGCCCTAAAACCAACCACTAAATCACAGAGAACTCTCAGTGGAATATTAACAGTAAGTTAACCTGTTTTTAATATCACAGGGCTTTAAGCCGTATAATATTAAGCTTTAATAACAGAGTTAATTAAACTGTAAATCCTGTATGCATAAAACATAAACTAACAACATGTATTTTTCCACTAGAGTCCAATTGCAAATCTGCCCTGTCTCTCTGTAGGACTAAAAACCACGCCCGTGCCTGCCAGTTGCCTGTGAAAATCCCTGGAACATTTGCCTGTCCTGACTAAAGGCTATGAAAGAACATTTGTGTTCCTGGTCTATGATACTTGTAAATACTGTATATATAATTGTAATATAATTTTGTACATACTTTTACATTGGTAAATAAACCAGTTTAAGTTTACTTTTGCATTTTAAATTAAACCACCAACCCTAACTGATTCTTATAAACCCTACTTTCTCCACTGAATAAAAGCAACCCGAGGTAGGTATTCCTCTATATCTGAAGAGTCAACCGGAGAGGAACCTTGGTGAAGTACTTAAGGCCATAACCAGCCTAGGTACGACACAAGTATCAATGTGCAGGCTACATGCAGTTATAAAGGAATTTTTACGTCTGTCGATGCATCATGGCCAGGAAGCGTGCATGACAGCAGAGTTTAGAGAAATTCCGAAGTTCATGCATTTTTTTTAATGGGACGTATTTGCTAGGGGATGAAGGATATGGTATCGCTCCATGGTTATTGGTACCTTATAAAAATCCCTTGACAGCACCTCAAAGAGCATATAATAAGACGCATTGTAACAATCGCGTTAAAATTGAATGCTGCGAATAAAAACTGACCGAGTAGCAGGATTTATACTACACAATGTTGCTAAACATTTGCAGGATCCTGACGAAGATTTTGACGATCTTGATGACGAAGGAGCACCTTTTGTATGGCGTTGCAAGCTGATTGTGCGGCAGGTGTCCGTCGTGCAGGTCAGCAAAAACGGGATGCTGTTTCTCGGCGAATCCTTGTCGAACAAAGGTGAGTTTTATATACATGTGACGAATGTAAACTAAACATTATTTAAATACAAAATATTTATATTCTTACTTATTTTAATTAGGGAAGTAACATGTAATCATCTATTATTAATGAAATATCACAAACAATTCAGTCGTCATTATTATTAACATCAGAAAAAGGTTCAGTATAAAGTACTATTGAGTCTTGATTGATCTTCAACTGATAATATTCCTTTATTTGAATAGCAGCACTTTCTTGAGCACGAGCGGCCTGAATTTGTTGAATTAAGCACATTCTTTGCAAGTGCTGCAAAGAATATCCTTGAAACTCTTCTGGTTCTTTGATTTTAGTTATTTCTAATTTTTTCTTCTTTTCAGGAGGCGACAATAATGTTGAAGTACTTGATTTGCTAGTTAATGGCATGGAATAGCCGGATGTTACTGCACCTATATTATTTATTGTGACTAGTTACCTAAATTGATAAATAAATGAATAAAGTATAAACAACTTACCTGGTGCTTTTTTCAGTACAGGATTCGCTCCCTGAACTTCCTCGTTATTCCAATTAGCATAAAATTTATTTTGCCAATCCGTGAGTACAATTTTCTTATTACCCGTCTTTTTAAGGTCTGTGGCTTCTTTAACTTTGGTTTTCACATTGTTCAATTTTTTCATAACCTGTTTAACAGTCATTACTTCTTTGGTATTCTTGGTATACGCTTCTGCGAGTGATTTAGCTGCTTTATCTTTTTCTGATTTGATTGCTGGAGTTTGCCGCTTGTCAAAAAGTATTTTAAAATCCTCTAGCAAAATAACAAATGCCATCTGAAAATCTATATCTTCCACATTTTCAGCATCCCCAGCAGTTGGTTCAACACTATCGTCACTGTCACTCATGATTACTAATTTTAAAGTAGGTACCACAATTACCACAGAACAAACAACAACAATCAAACAAATTTGAGGTTAAACTACCTACTAGTTTTTACTCTTCTAACCTAAGTAAATACTTCCCATAGAAGAATTTACTTCATGTAAAAGAATATACTCCAAAAAATACTAGGAAGTAAAAGCTCTTACTTGAAGTGAAAGCAAATACTCTTTTTAATCATACCACCCAATGTATTAAAAACAAAAAATACCAGACAAAATATTTTACAATTTTGGTGTCAAGAAATGAAACATATTTTAAAACTGTGGTTATATAATATAAACAGAAACGATATTTTCCAACAAAAAATAATAAAAATAACATAAAATAGTTAAAAAATTCTGGTTATTAAATCTCTTTTGCAAAGGTCTAATTTTTTATTTCCATTGGCCAACTGTGTCCCGGCAACTTCTTGTCTTTCTCACAGATCGCGGTACATTTGTTTCAAGGGAACATCGCTTCAAATATTCTCTAGTCAAAGATTGTCCAATATCTCTTAGATAGAGTCTGATTTTTACATTATTTATTATTACATGCAAAAATAATCTGAGAATTTACACCAGCCATGTTTATTATTGAAAAAAACTACCATATGCCTCCTTGTATTCCTAGCTACATTATAGGTTGCACTTAACTCGTCGAGATATCCACACTCCCCTTGGTATGATTATAAAATGTTATTATCTCAGGTTTAAATTTTTCTTCTGTTGATGGATCAATTTTGGTGTAAACTGGAAATAAGGTTTTTATTTTTTGGGTATGTAAGATTCAATAGTCATATTTTCTTGAAAGAAAAACAATGAAAAAAATTCAGGACTTGCTTTTGTGTTGGAAAATTCAGGAAGCAATTTTATTTTATACTTTTTTATAGTGCCTACATATGTATGTAATTTTATGCTTGTCAAATAATTCCTTTACCAAATCAATGCTTGTAAACCAATTATTACACGAAAGGTTTTAATTATTACCTTTGCGTCGTTCATATGGGTCCTGAGGCTGTTGCCCGACATAAACCTCAAGATTCGAAGCATATTATGTAGAGCAATCCACCAAAGCGAATATTTTGATTTCATATCTGCTAGGCTTACTCGGAATATATTGCTTAAAAGAGCACCGTCCTCTAAATGCCTCAAGCTTTTCATCAATTGTTGTGTAGGCTCAAACTGTATAAGTTTTCTTACAGTTTTCAACAAAGAGGCCAAATAAGCTTCTTATTGGAGCCTATTTATCAAGCTGTCTTATTTCCTCTTATGTTACCAGATCGTCAAACCAAATGCATCTTAGAAGAAAATGGAATCGATCGTGAGACAAAAGCGTTCGATCCCAAGTTCGTTTCTTTGCCACAGCTCGTTTGTATTAAGTCTGCCACTTTTGATAATCCCTGCCAGATATAATAATCCAAAAGCTTTTACTTTACAGAGGTTAGCTTTCCTCTTTTTTTTCTGCATAACCTTCAGCTAATCTAGAAATATATAAATTTGTATTTTCCACTATAATCTTCAGCATTTTATCTGTAAAAAAAGAGAGACCAACATGCAAGTGCCGTTTTGGCGTTTTTTCCACTTCTGACGCCTGGTAGCCGAAGAATAATATTTTTTTGCCTAGTTCTGATTTGTTAGGGCAATGTTTTTAACCAATGAAAATTGGGATTGTTGATTTTTTTGCAAGACATATATTATCGTCGTCACTCTCATCATCATAATCTTGTTTAAACTCACTGTCGGTACTTCTGCTTTCTATTATATCTGCTTCAGAAGCCAATTTTTCTTCTTCGTCACCGGGATCTTGATCTATATTAACTTCTTCCCATAACCAACGTAATTCATATTCTTAAAATAGGGGAGAGGCTGGTACAGTGGCCACCGTTTTAATAAATGCTTTATAAAAATTATTGCATATATAAGTGCATTAAAATCCCTCTTATATAAAACAAAAAAAACTAGAACAAAGCGTGACAGTTGCAGAAACATGTGTTGTTTAAATGTGGCCACTGTACCTAACTACATGGTTTAAAGTTGACTATGTATTCATCATCTTCTAAAGTTTCTGTGACTTTTGCAAAGTAATATTTTGACGTATTTTTTGTATTGAAATGGGCAAGAACAAATGATTTTACTTTGATTATTTGTAATTCTCTTTCTTCATCACTACTTTTATTAGTTTCTGAAAATACATCGACATCATCAGAATCTATAACGTCACTGGATTCACTTTTCTTCTTTGTTATATTTAATTTGCTAAAAGAGGAAATTTTCCTTTTTATACTCATCTGTTTCTTAATGCCATCTTGCCTAGCTCTTTTCTTTCCTGTCTCCTCTTCAATTCTTTTAACGTGTGAGTAAAAATTTCCGTAGTCTTCTTCTTTTTTTGTTTTTTCACAGGAGCTACTGACGCTTTTGGATAGGGGTTAAATATTTGGGCAAAATAAAACTTTTCTCAGTTTTTTTTTCGCCAATAGAAATTATTGATGTATTGTTGGTTTCTTTTTGACTTTCAACTTGATAGAATGATGTTGATGGAAAAGAATTATCTTATTCTGATCTTTGGTCTCGATATATTATTATTAGGTAAATATCTTTTACTTTTTGCACGCGGACTGTCAGTAACAGTTGAAGCCATAAAGTCATCGTCGCTAAAAAATTGGTCATTGTATGGAAAAATTCTTGTTTTAAATGCCGCTAGATCTCGGCAATGTCATATATGGTTATCCTTCTTCCTGGATTTGTTAGTAACCATGATTGGCATTCGTGATTATAGTATTTTTTAAGAGGGTCATAAACACATTTATACAGTGGTTGGAGTGGCTAGTATGAGGCGGCAGGGTAAGCAAAATAATATTACTTTTTTTTGCTAGTTTTACAATTTACAATGAAACGTGGCTCTCATGGTTATCCATAATAAGCAGAATGGGTGATGCATGTGTTGGTTTGGAATGCTGTATTAAATGTTCCATCCACTGCACTCGGCCCACATCCATCCAGGAGATGAAGTGTTCCTGGAGGTGCATTTTTAACTTTATAATCTTTAAAATACTTTCTAGGGAATATCAACAATAGAGGTACCGAATTACCAATAGCATTAATGCGCCGCACATAGTTACTAAAGTTTCACTCTCATTACAAACTATGTGACCTACTTGCTTCTGTCCCTTTTGAGCTACTACCTTCCCAGTTCCCTGAACAGTTGTCAGCGTAGTTTTATCAACATTATAAATTTGACTTGGTGGAAAACTATAGCGTTCATAAATTTCTATTGGGTTCTTAAAAAAATTGTCAACAACGGGTCGAATAAAGCCCATTGCTCTACCAAGTGACGTTGCTTCTGATGATCTTAATGATAATTCAGGGTTTCGTTTCATGAATCCTGTGAACCAACATTTTCCAGCCGTTTAGTTCTCTTTCTATGATATGGGTATATTTTTGTTGTTGACAACTGCTAAATCAAAAGTTAGCTTCCTAGCACCATTTGGGTTTAATCCATGGTGCAACCTTGTCAACGTTTGCAGGTATTTGCTGGTCTCTTTTTCTTCATCTAACTAAAAAATTTAATTAACACGTTCACGACCGGTATTCGTAAATTTAACGATGCTACAAACCAACTACCTTTCATTTCGTATTACATAAGTTGTGACTGAAATATTTAATTTATTGTAGTATTTGTGTGTTATTTTATATTTTTTGTGTTTTAGACTAGGGTGACATATATGTAAGATCGGTTTTAGACAAATTATTATTAAAATGTACCGCATGTCACAATAATGTGACTTGGGCTTTTGGGTTTAAAATAAAACAAAAATTATATTTTTTAATATATTTTAAATGAAACTATATTTTTATAAGAAAAATTTAAAATAAAAAACTTGACAATCAAAAACGACTTAATCTGAATATCTTATTTTCCATTTTTATGCCATATACCAAAGCATGGAGATGGACATAATCCTATAGGATTGCCTTTACTATCCTTACATACTAAACAGAAATACCAGGACATGCTTCTTTTTTTTGTTGGCTACATAGTCTGTATCTTTTTCTCTTGTCTTCCTTGTGTGGAAATTGGGTCCTGCAGCTACATTCGATTTTCGTTTTGAACTTTCCACATAAAAGTTTTCTGATTATTTCTTCTCTATATTTAAGATAGGACATTTTTTTGTTATTGATTTTATTCAGCAACCAATTTCCATTCCATAAGCATAGGTCAACAAGGTAAAAGATTACTTTCATGTACCACCTAAGTGTTTTTCTAGGAGTAGAATAATACGATGTCATTGGATCAGCTCTATCAACTCCGGACATATGCCTATTATATTCAGCTACCATTTCAGGTTTATGTTTCTTTACTCCCTTTTTTGAAGTTAGTTCCATCATCTCTGATTTGTGTTAACTTAATATCATAAGAACGTCTCGTTTATCATGCCATTTTAAGACTCTTATTTGTCCCTTTCTCTTTAAAACGAGATTACCCTTGTTTAGTTTTGTAGATACGACTGATAGAGGATTTTAATTCCTGTTTTTTCGTAAAGTACCGTCATGTATGTTTTATTTTCCAAAAGATATTTGGCTAATTTGTAACTGCAGTAAAAATTGTACATATAAATTGTGTGTCCCTTTTGAAAAAAAATTTCCCCAAGTCTTTTCACCACCTCAAAAGCATGACCTTGCTCATTGTTTACTGTACCTGTTCCGCAATATATCAATAAGTCTAATACAAAACCATCAGGAGTACAAATTTCAAAAAACTTGATACCATACTTGCTAGCCTTATTTGGTATATACTGTCCAAAGGAGTAACGCTTCATCTAATGATAAGTTTTCTGATGGATAGTGTCACGGTTCACTTTTCAGTGGGCGCTATTTAAAATAATATCTAGTTTTAAGGGCTCTGCCCGACTCTATAGTTGCTCAGGGGTGTGGGTTATAAAGGGATGTTCGTAGGCGCCACGTGATTTAAGTGGCCCTTAAAACGT